ATTACCCGCGGCTGATGGCTTTCACTGTTGCTTTTAAGCCGGAAAAGGTTTTTGCATGTTTAAAATAAATAAATAAACGTGATAGAACATAAATACAAAGTGCGTAAGAGTGTTTTGTCATATGCGCGTATCATTGCGAATACATTGAAGGTTTTGATCAAGCATAAATATTTCCGCGGTAATCACTTTATAAATACGCATTCATTATTAATGCAATTTAAATGAAATAAAATATTCATCTACCGACAATAATTTGTAAAGGATAAACCGTTCTAGAGATATTTTTTCCTACTGAGATAACAATTTATCATCAGTACGCTTCAGCGAAGCGCTAATAAATCACACAATTGCTGTATCGTCGATTATCAATATCTATCAATGCTGTAATTCGCAATGTTGATTCACGAGATTTAACATTCATTCACGCGAGAATTTTGTAAAAACTCATCACCGAAAATTTGACCAGACGCGCATTCGAAAATCTTACACAATACGACAAATATTTTCAATAAGTAAATCAGCGCGAGTTTCGCGCACGAATAAGTAATACAAGCTCGGAAATGGAATTTGAATAGAAACATTCAACCGGAACGAACTTTACCGCGTGTTCGTTCCGGCCACTCGATAAAAGCTCAGGGTATATTTCGACGGCGCATAGTAGAGGGGCTTCGCAGCTTTTAAGCTCACACTGAGAGAACGCAAAGAATCCTCTATTCTCTCTTCACCTTTTTTTATCTTTTCTCCCTTTTGCGTTACGGATTATCCTACATAATAATTTCCAAGCCATGGATAGTCCGCCTATGCGTTATCTCGTGTATCTCTCGTCGCTCACCGTGGAATTAAGACGGAAAATATAACGAGATGAAGGGGCGGCGGTAGCGCGCCAGCGGCGGCGGCGGCAACGGCGGCGGCGGCGGCACGGTCGTTCGTGCACGACGACCGAGGAACAACGACGTACAGATAATCTAAACTCGGAGCGATGGAGTGGTGGCAGCCTGGGCTACACCAGTTGTCAGGCCGTGATGGATGGACGCGCGGCACGTACCACCGAGAATTCGTCTTCCTTCTTTTTCATTTCGTGAACTCCGCCTTATTTTCCGTCGCGCATTTTCCGCCTCCGTCCGCTCGATACCACACCGATATTCTTTCCCGGGTTCCATGATCTTCAACGGAGGTCCGGGATACTTGCTTTTGAAAGCGCCACTTTCCTGGTTCAGCGTATATATCCAAGAGAGAATCGTTGCGTTCCATTGTTTGAACCGTGAAATAACTTTCCGCGTATTCATCGCATGTAGATCCGACGATCATGGTTACATGCATCCGTGCGTTTGCGGTATGTTCCTTTTGATTAGAAGGTAATACGTTTCTTGGAATTCTGATATTTCTTATTGGAAGCGTCGACATTACTACGTGGATTACACGCTGCCTGGAATGTTGCAGAGTTGTCACAGGACGTACACGTTTGTGCAACCTTCAAGGCACGCCGGTATCTTCACACCCCAATTCTTTCGTCCTCCAGGATTGGAAACGAGTGAAATGCCAAATAGAAAGGGAGATTAAAACTTACTTTCGTGATTAAATACGTCCGTTTTCATTTTAATTTCTTCTTTTTTAATTGCGATATTTAATTAAATATTAGAATTTTTCTAATTTTAATTTAATCAAGAGAGAGTAAAGGTCTTCTTCGTTATTAATACATCAAAATATGTCCATAGTATTCATTATTTATAATAACGCAGTTTGTTCTTTTACGAAACATCGTTGCGCGTATATGCAACTTTCATAATTTAAATGTGATACTTAAAATGCGCAACTCTGATTAACGTTGCCGGAAGGATGCGAATGTCTTTTTCAAAATTTGTGCGATTTCTCTGGCGAGTAATGAAGAGTTTGCAATGGTATATTCATGCCACGTACATGACGAGGAAGAAAGAAATTCTACCTTCCGCGCGATTCTTCACTCGCTACTTACGTTTTATTCCACTCATCAGCTTTCCCCATTCTATGCGGTACGTGCACGTTCTAATTCTCACGTTCCCGACGATACAGACAGAAAAAGGAAAATATCCTGTGTGAGATGTGTAATCCGTTTTTTTCATCCGGTGAGGGTAAAATAAAAAGTATAATGCGTTGATGAATTTGAGAAAATTAGCTTTGCGGGCCAGTGGTTGTGAATTGTAACGTACCAGGTGGCTTCAAGAAATTATACAGATCCACACCTTCCTTTGTTTTACATTTTATACATCTCACTTTTGCTCATATTTTGTAGACGGCATAAATGTGATGTAACAATATCGTATATTTTCACAAATTCAAACTTACTTGTTTTATTTAACTTTTTAACTTAATCATTTATATGTCTATTATATTGTAATATATAATTGCTTCGCTAAAAATCATATGTATATCATTATATCCGTGCAAAATAATAGAAAACGTAAAAATATTAGATTTCTTTTGTTTTCTTTAGCGAGTTTTCCTCACTGTACGTAGAGAGTGGGTCAGACATTTTTCTACGTATTTATCTTGATCTTCCATTTCCTCGACAAACACAGCGTAAAGCAGGATAGTTTTGAAATTATTCATAAAATATGCATGACAATGGAACAAGTATTTCATGCGGATTCTTCGTTGCAGTATTACTTCGCTTCTATTCAGCTCATCGTTTTCCGGTATTCAAGATAGACAATCTGCCGAAGCTTTAATCCTGATGCTCGTAGCGATACCAATGTTGGATGAAAAGAGACCGGTGGAGAATGTTTAACGGAGGCGTTGCGACCGTCTTAAGCCCCCCATGCTGAAAGTGGCTCACGCGCCTCAAGCGCGAAATAAAAAAAAAAAAAAAAAAACGAAAAAGTTACCTAAAATTTCTGCTTTCACCGTTATGCCGGGTCACTGCAAACCAAGCGATCAATTTTTACATGTTTTTACGATTATATTTTGTTGTCGAAAATAATAAATATTATATAGATATTGATTCTTATTAATAAAAGCACGATATGCATAAGAATTCGACTTTTTTTGTAATGAGTGTGTTATGGCTCATCGAAGGGGATATTAAATGGTTAGGAAGCAATTTATCTAAATAGATTGTCGTTGAAATTTTTCGATAACCGCATCGCTATTCAAACGCGTATGTGCTTTATCGCTTAACAATGTGCGCTTGTCACACACATACGAAAGTGTATACACGTATATATTTCGACTATATATTCGACTATATATTCGACTATAATTTCTCTATTGCTGTTTCCCTTTCCAAGGTGGTCGCATAGGACGCTGCTTTATCACACGTAAGCGAGTGTATCGCGCTGATAGGATCGCTTCCGGATACATAAGTTGCCCGAACAAAAGCAAATGTTGGCGAGTGCGCAAATTGTATCTCTCGACATTAAAAAATTTAAGAGCGGTAGTTTTTATAAGACGCTTAGCGCAGAGTTCTGAAATTTGTGTTGATAGTCGACCATTTCGATGGTCGATCGTTATCAACATTATTTCAAGATTCATGCTCGACCATCATCGATGGGACCACGAATCTTGAATTTCCGTGCTCGACCATGGAATCAATTAAGCCATGGGACCACGGATGCATGGATAGGCTAGGAAAGATTCTGAAGAAATTAGCGTATAGCAAGACTATATTTCAAATATATTTCAAAATCAATAACCAAACAAAAATCGATAACGAAAAATGCGCTCTTTTATTAAATAAATTATTTCAAATGTAAAACATAAATTTTCAATTTTTGTCCCGTTTGTGTAAAACATATTCTTTTTATTTTTAACTTATTACATTCGCATATGTATTTAAAAAATTTTAATATATTCAGTTATTCGGAAAATTTGTAGCAATTTTTATGACTAAATAAAAAACAATTGTTTTATATTTAAATCCATCTTTATTCAATAATATATGTACGTTGTTTTCGACAACATTTTGACCATCTTTAACGACTTGTTTATACATATTACTAAATAAATGAACATATAAATATATAAAAATTGTTTTTGATTTTGTCATAAAAAAAGACTATACACTTTTTGAATAATTCAATATATCTTGCTTTAATTCTTATTTATAAAGAACATTTATTAAATATTCCAGAGTTAAATATTCAACGAATCTAAGTCCTAGCCCATCCATTTTAAAATAATGGATCTATGACATTATATATTTGTTATGTTTTATCTATAACATTCTTGTATATCATTATGCTTACAATATTGCATTGTATGATTTTCTTTATTTCATATTGAAATTTATCCTATTTTTATTGTATTCACATATACGAGGATAAAATAAAAAGTAAAAAGATTTTTTCATTCTCAAATTAATGAAAAATATCCCAAATATTGCAAAAAGATAAACTAGTCCTCATATAATGTTCTTGTCTACACTTACATACTCTTTAATTCATATATTTTTTAACTCATTGCAAACCGGAAACATAAATCAACATGTCCTGTTTTTGAAATGTTAATTTACGTGTTTCGAATAATCTTGTGTGGTATTATTAACATGTTCCATGCCGTGTGGCTTACTGGTGGCCTCACTAAATTTTCTATTCAGGCCGTTTAAAATAAAATATTTTATATTTCTTAAATTTATTATAGCTTTTTATGATGTACAACATATTTTGTGTATGTTACATTCTATTTTTAGTAATTTCTATAATTATAATTTTTTACAACATATACATAAATTTCACGACGTAAATAGAAAGTTATGTAAAATCAGAGCGACATGGAACATGTTAACAGATAAATATATATAAAATATATATAACGCGTGTGACAAAAAATATAATTTAAATTTATCAAAATAATAAATAATTTGTTCTTCTAAAAACTAACTAAATTTAAAATATTTTGCAATGTGCGAACTAAAATTTTTATAAAATCAATATCATATACGATCTACAATGTGTTAAATTTTATAGTATGTATCTTATAGATCCATTATCTTAATAACAATCAAGACAAATTATAAACTCACTCACCGATTGATGCGCAGCAGCGGAGTTGTCATTCTGTTGATCTGCATAGTTGATGATCTGTAAAATACGAAAATAAGTCAAGATTATAGTTGCGTTCATAATGAATATTTATCAAATCATAATTGAGTACATTGAACTTTTAATTCTTTTTGTAAGCAAATATGGAATAAAAAAATTATTGAAAAAGTTTAATTATTAAAATAAAAAGTAATAAATATGTAAATAAATTCTAATAATAATCAATATTAACTAATGTAAATATTTTAAGTCTTTTAATTTACAACATTTTCAACAAATAAATGAATTATTATTTACCGTAAAGTTGCTCCGCCGGCGCCCGATGCTCCTCCTGAGCCTCCTCCTCCTCTCAGTGGTCCTTCGAAGCACTCACATTGAATCACACGCGTTCGCGGCGCATGCATTGCTCGCATGCGTATCTGAATACGAAAATCGCGCGATACTTAAAACGGCACTCCCGACATCACAGGCGAATCGAACCGAATTGTCCAAGCTGTGACGTTACGCGCGAATTTCGTCCGCGTTTCAGACGACCACATTTACCAATTGGGGCACGATTCTCTCAAAACAGAAGGCAAAGATAAGCTCGAAGAAGATGAGGTGATTAGTCATCCAATCAACCGACTAGATACAAGACATCTGAAAAGCAATCGGTAGCGTTTGACTAACTCCGGTAGCCGTCCTCGACTACCTTCGACAGTCCGGCTATCTGTACAACTAGCGCGCTGCACGTAGAACCGAAGATTGCCCTGCCGTAGTCGAGATTTTATGATTGAAACCGTCCTTTCCCCCCCCCGAGCCAAGCCTAAAGTCAAAAAAAATCGTGTCCCAATATTTGTCATACAGCAAAAATGCGTTCATCTATAGATTCGCTATAACTCTCGGCATTAACGGCACTCCCGACGCGCATTTTGTTATACTATACGACGGAACGAATATATTTTGTAGCACCGATTACGCGCACAAAGTTGATCTGTAAAATAAAAAAATAAATGCAGATTAGTGTTTGAAATAATTAATATTTATAAAATAATTACTGCGCACATTAAACTTTATATATGGCGATTTGAAGCGCGAAGGTTTATCTGTAAAATATACAAATACATTTATACTACTATGACATCCAAAATATTTTATCTAATAAATATCAATTGTTTTTGAAGCACAATTTAAGAAAAACCTGATCAAAAGACTGAAATAAGAATTTCATGAGACATTTGTGAATGTCTTTTTAATAATCCTTTAACCAATTTAAAATCAATATTACTTTAGTAAAAGTAGCGAGTAATAAGTTTTAAATTTAAATTTTACTCAAGTTTACTTGAGATAAATTAAGGAATATAATTGTATTATTCATCTATAAGCCTCTAAAGCTTTGTTATATTATATTGTGATCGGGGGCGTTGTGACCGTCAGAAGTGCCTCTACGCTGGAAGTGGTTCGGGCGCTCCAAGCGCTAAGCAAAAACAAAACGCCACGCCACCATGCGGTTTTTACACACTTCAAAAATTATCGGGGTCTATTACAATTTTGCGTCCCTCCAAATTTTGCTACGCTGAAGCGTATATTGCGTACTATATTGCAACGCCCCCGATGTTTAATGGTGCTTTTCTTGGGCGCTTAAAGTCTATCTTATGTGTTCATGTACGTGCAGACATATCACGCATTTCTGTAACTACTTGCGAACCTTTGGTACAACAAACGAGAATTCAGTGGGCGAGAGGCGAGTCTAAATGGAATTTCAAACTTACTAATGTCTAAAGCTTTCGTAAATTTGCTGATTGCGTTTAGATATTTGTCTAAAAAGATTAAAAAAAGAAGAAAACTTTATGCGCAGATAAATGCATTTTCTATTGTCTTATTAATGACACTAAAGAATCAATAACGACGATATTGGAAAAGTAAATCAAATTTTGTATAAATATCTTATTTTCATCAGAATAACCGGAATATTTGCAGGTCTGTATTATTAAAAGGCAATTCTAGGACATACAGTAGATTGATGAAAAAATAAAGCATTCTAATAGAAAAGTTTATAAAAGTAACAATAGAAACAAATTTAGTTGTAAAGAAAAAAAATGATCGTTAGAACTTCATCGATAAAACGAACATAATATTTTGAAAACATGTGGAGAGTTGCACCGTTACCAGACGCATTCTAAAATACATTGGCGTTTAGAGTATTTCTAGTGATCGATTTTATTATTTTTCACCAACAGAAATTTTATCCTCAAACATGCGGCGGAGTATCGTGTGGATTATAATCGTTCTCTGTCAACCGTGAATATTCACGCTCGGCGGTAAAAACTCAGTCAGATAAAAATCCGACAGGAAATATTCATTTAAAATTTGAAACAAACTCGATTACTCGTATCCACTTTGCTAATTGTAAAGTCAAATTTGAATCTATTATAAATCTTTCACTCTTCTGTATATTATTTTTTATTAAATCCATTTTAGTTAACAATAATTTATAATTATTGTTATAAATATGCGTATTTATTAATAGCGACAATAATTATATATAGCTTTAATGTTGTTGCAATTTATATTTGTATTTTGCGAAAGAGGATAATAACGCTAATCATATTTAACATTGAATAATTCATTTTCTTCTATACTTTATCATTATTAATCGCGTTTAGAGCTGTAATTAACAATATCAATTAATTAAATCTTTCGCGCACCGTAATAACGATTATTATAATATATTGTAAAAACGGATGTATTTTTGTAGGAGTATTTATAGTCATCACAAAAGAAAGATTATTTTTAAAATTTGCATGTACTATTTAATAAAAAAATTTAGCTAAAGTAACCACAACAATGGAAACATTCCCTTTGAATTATACTTGTATAGTGACCGCCACAGAATTAATGTTTCCGTGACGCAGAAAAACGCGGAGTTAGAAATGCAGCGGAACATACTCGTAAATGTTCACAGACTATGCTTCAGGGACAGAGCTATGACGCACCTAAACAAGACAATGAGAGGTGGTCGGAATTCTATATGAAAGCATGGGGACAGAGGCGACTGCATGTCGGTAAGCGATGTGTTCACGATTCCGACGCGTAGCCATAAATTTTTTTTCTAAAAAGCGCTTTTGTTCGCCTCTCTCGTATACGTATTATGCACGCACCTATGTGGGAACATGACAAAAAAAAAAAAAAAAGAAGGAAAAAGAAATATAAATCGGGAGTGAAACGCTGAATCTCGGGGTAAAAATACGACCGGACAGTCACGGAGTGCGACGCTGGGGACGGTCGCGCGTCGGCGAATTGACGATCAGCATACGTTGAATCTCATTATTCCATAAAAACGAAGTTACGCGATGCGGCGCGAAGCGTCGCCCTAATGGCGCCGTTCGTTTCGGAGGTATAAGAGGGACGATGAAGCGCCAAGCGCGAGTTTCAATGGATATAGCTTGCGTGACGAGGGGAACTATGGAATTTAAATCCGGGATTGGAAATGTCCGAAATTATTTTTGCTCTTTGACGAAATAAAAAAAAAGTTGGAATTTTTATTATAAAAGAAATTCGAGCGCATTTTTTATACGTAAAAGATATATTATTATGTTTGATATGTGCGAAATATATTGGCCCTCCTTTAAAAGATTATTGATAAGCTTTATTTAATATGGATTAGGTGTATTAAAAATATGCATTTAATATCGCAATTGGAGTTTCCTTTCAGCCGTGATGCAGCTGACCGTTCTGAGCAACAACGGGAATGCTTGAGCAACTTTAGACGAAACCAACGCGTTTGTTTTCTCTTTCCGGTCAGAACGGGACACAAGGTGGTAGTTCGCGAGTGTGTAGAGGGTATGCGCACAATTTTGAGATAAACACGCGACGAAGTTTTGTTAAAAAATGTCTCAGAATTGTTCAAGCGTATAGACTGTCGTATATTTTCCAGTATTTGTAGCTGAAAATTCCCGATATCAGAAATGTCTTGTATTTATAGGATTATATTTAACGGAGAAAAGAGAGGCGAAAGATAGGAAGAGCGGTGGCAAGAGTCCTTGCGAGCTTTTACTTAATGATGAAAGTTGCCGCTTCAACGAACGAGCTCCGCCCTGTTTCCTAAACCGGATTTAAGGTGAACGAGAAATTGCCAAGACGGACAAATGCGAAAGACGAGAGAAAAACTACGTCGTAGCTGTCGCGACAATGATGATTTTGCAGTATAATTGCAATCGGATCGATTCAATCGTTGATCTATCGACGTGATATGCACTCCGGTCGGATTTTGTGCAAACATTCGTATAGCAGCGCACGTCGTTTGCAGCGGCCGCGATATTAAATTTTCCGTTGGAACGCGGATTCGGAATAAAACATAAAAGCGCGCGCGGGGTTTGCACGGGTTTTCCAGAAACGTGTATTGTTTACTGCACGACCACGCCTGCGCGATGTTTGCTGCATTCCGTGGCACTTTTTGTTAACGCGTTCTCTCGGTCGCGCGCGCGCGCGCGCGTGTGTATGTGTGTGTGTGTGTGTGTGTGTGTGGATGTGCTATATCCCGGGCGTCATGCGCAAAAGACAACCGAACCAAAAATCGTGATAATAGGGCCACGGATTTTTTATGGACTCGGTGTGTCAGAATTCTCGCAATTTTTTGATCGCACATCGACATTCACGCTAGAGAGGTCTTGTAATTCATCGATGCGTTTTTGATGGGCATATTGCCGGTTTATCTCGGATATCTCTGGCACTGTTCTCGTATGAATTGAATAACTCTTTTATTGAGAGATCGCTGTTGCCACAAAAGCATTTATATTGGCGTTCAAGGGGTTAACGAATCATGATTAATGAAATCATAAGAACTTTTTCAAATAAAATCAAAGTTATTTTGCTCGGCTGCAATACAAATACCTGCAATGGTCAAAAACTTGAAACATTTTTGTATAAAGTTTTTTTTAATTGAAATTTCACGCATAGCCGATTTTGTAATATTTGAGTGATTAAATAAAATAGTTTATCGTGATCTGAATCGCCCGATTAATATACATGTATGTATATTAATCGATATAATTGCATTTGCACAAGCATGCTGGGAACGTGATATTATTTGGGATATCATCTGTATGCAGCGCGCGCAAAAAGTCGTGGTAATTCATTGGCGATTAAACAAACGGGCGTTTCAGCATGGCGATTCTTTGGCTGAAACGATCGCTCTGCGGTAATCAGCATAACAAATTTCTGTATGTAAATCAGCAGTGTATCGGCTCGCATGAGCGCTGTCGTGCAATTCGTTTATGCTGGATTAAGCGCATAGGACGCGCTTATGCTACGTATGTATCGCGTGCATTTTTCATTAGAATTCATGAGCGAGATTGCGACGAGCTACGTGCTAATGAGTACATATCAGGAAATATAATAAATTAGTATCATCACGCTTATATTGCACAAAAAATTTTCATAATGTTCATCACAGAAAATTACTCAATAATTATT